CTTTGTGGGGAAAAGATCCTCCAGCCTGTTTTCTGAGATCCTTCTAAGTGTTCACAAGGGAAAGGCAAACCCATTGTCATCAAGTGAATTCCAAGTGTTGGGAGTCCATTGTGACAGTGCTGAGGTCCTATCGACTTTCCAAGGGCACACTTGGTAATTGAAGTGAATTTTATCATCTTTTTCTCAAGTCTCGGTTCTTGAATTTGAATCTGATGATCTGTTTTCTGTGATCCCACATCCTTCTCCATCTCTCACTCAGATGCGTAGCAAGTGGTCAAAAAGACCATGGGCTTGACTCTGATCTAATTGGTATATCACTTGTCTGGCAGTTTGCTGTACTGTGATACCTTTTGACTTGCTTTGATACTGAAAGTCATGCAACTGGCGTATGAAATGCCAAAGAATTACCCACGGTGGACAGATTTTCGGAGAGCTTCCAGATGATGACCGAATAGGGAATAGCATTGCCTATTCACTTTTCAAATAATAGGTCATTGAAACCCCTGTGAAAAATACAAGAGTTTGCTTACATGTTATAAAGCGTTAATTGGCTCAGTCAGTATTGATTTTCACCTGTAAAAATAGTAAGGGCCACCTAGAGACGGCTATATCAGACCTTTACCAACTTCACAAAAGGAAGTTGTCCTGGCAATACAATCAGTAACACATAAGCTGTTCCCAAGGGTGCAGGCCTGTCTCCCCCTAACCCTAACCCGCACTACCTCTCCCCCCCCGCCCCGCAACAAGACAACTCAGAGTGAGACCTCACATAGGGAAACACAAAGAAGTAGGAGCAGGTGTGAGCAGACAGTAGTGAGTAGAATGTGAGATGTGTGAACGTTGGAAAATGGAATCGTGTTAATAAAAATGGAACACAAATATTGACATACTATGTATTAGCAAAATGGGATGGCTTGGCATCGGATGTGAATCAGCTGTGAAAACTAGGTCAGGTGCTGATTGTGTTAGAGACCACCAACAACTCCTGTTTAGTTCAGGCTCAAGTAGAAGACATTTTCATCAAAAGCACAGGAACGAACATCTCATCTTGAGTCTATCCCACTTGAATTTCAAAACCCTCTCAGGAAC